CCCAGCGATATCCTCCACACACTGTCATCTCGATTTTTTTGCATTTGGTATAAAGATAGTCAGCCACACATAAAACAGACCCGAGAAGAGAAAGACAATAGCTATCTTTAAAGTACTCTGTCATTTGTCTCCATGACAGTCCTATTTTTATGTCCAAAAGGAGATGAGAGTAAATGTGTTCTAAGAAATGCCAGCGTGGTTCCTTAGCAACCTTGAATGACTCTGTTGAAAGAGCGCCTCTGCTGGCTCAGGGTGCCCATAAGCGAGCAGCCCCTGGGTTGGGTGGGAGGTGGGGACTTCCTTGGGATACAAATGAGCATTTCATGATCAACCCTGTGGGATAAAACGACCATGTAAATGATACCTTAACGGTCTCAAACCAGCGCGGCTGTTTCACTTGGTAGTAAATCACGGACTTGTACTCCGAAATCGCTTCGTCGCCAGCACCCGGGAAGATCACATGCTTTAAAGGAAGGCATGAAGAGTTCACATCAGACTTCATATGGCCCGACACTGCATACATCTCGCCAGCTCCCGCCCCCAGTAGATGAGCTACAAGAAGGAGGCAGAGCACTCCAGGAATGCCAATAGACCACATCGCAAATGGAATATGCTCCCAGCCTTGGAAGGACAGATCCATCTCAAGCCAGCAGCCAGCATAAAACCTTGCTCTCAGACATTTAAGATCTTGATGGTTATGCGATAGGGGGATGCTGTTGTCCTCCATCCTTCATACTGTCACCCCTAATCACTTTAGCATCAAGGTCTGTGGAAAGTTGCCTGATTCACTCAGTAGGTCCAGAATAAAGGGCTAGGGACCAAACTTCAGGGGATGGCAACACTCCGTCCTGTTCCTCCAGCCGTAAATACTGACCACTCAACTCCAGTGGGAGTGATACTGGTAAAGCCCAAGTGGCAAGGGCAGCACTGCCTGGCAGTGACACTGGACACGGGCCACCCCGACAGAAAGGATGCCACCCACCACCTAGCACAGCTAAGCCTCAGGTGCACGCCCAAGGCATTGCTCTCAGCCACGTGGGCCCAGGAGAGCCCAGCCCTCCAGTCACAGCCCAGAGAGGTAGCCGGCAGAGACACCTGCTCTGGCTCAGCCTCCAGTCATCAGAGGAGGCCCAGCCTCCCAGCACTTCCCAGGACATCAAGTCCCACAGGCTGTTGTGACTGCACAGGAGTAGGTCTCAGTAACCACCATCATCCAGAAGAGCACGAGGTCAGATGCCCAGATTCAAACCCCAGTTCACTTCTCACTTGCTCTCTGACCCTGAGCAAGTTGATTGGTTTCTCTGGGCCTTAGTTTTCTCATCTCTCAGACAGTGAGAATAATGGCGTCTGAACTTGTAGTGTGATTGCTAGCCCTTGAGCCTTGAGTTTACGCCAGCCAGTGAAGCACCATGACAGTGATGGGCAAAGAAGGTGGTCGGGACCACAGGGATCTCCTGAGACAGGCCAGCTGCCAGGGCCCAGTGGACACCAGGCCCTCAAAGGCAAGCTAGAGAAGGGGAAGAAAGGGCAAACCCTCATCCCTAGAAACGGGATGACACAGCCCCATCTACGTCTTTCGTATTCTGCAGCAGAGCCAAGGCGAACACTTGGAAAGTCAAACTTAAACACTACACATTAAAGTTTGCAACAATAAATACCTCCAATCGTTTTCCATCTTCATCATAAACAGACACCGTAACCTCAACATTCTTTGCCGTCGTTTTGCTTCCTTTATCAAAATCTCCTTGAACTAATGTTACGTAGATGTCATTTCGAACATCACCTGGGGGAAAATTACACCTTTAAAACCAATCCATTATTCACAGCGTACGTGAATTTTGAAAAACTAACTCACTACCTCTCCAAGCAGAATATTATAAATACTGTACTGGATGATTACGAAATATTTTCTACAAAATAGTCTCAGCATTTAAAGACATGAAAAAAGCAAAGAGGAAAAATTTCAAGGCCCCTAATTATCTGCTTGGTTCTTCACCTGAACAGGAGTTCCTGTGTCTCTGTGGGCAGCCCATGCCTGGAGCAGGGCAAATGCTGTCGATGGGTTTGCAATGACCCATCCCCTCTCGAGCACCCAGGGCCCATTTCAACCCACATCACTATCGCTTGTTGGACCCCTGGCTGTGGTTATCGGAGTCTTCATAGCCAAAAAATATCACAACACCAACCAGTACACCACGCATGATAGCTGGCAACATTGGCCTCCTTCTAAGGAGTTGAACAAAAAGCTGATTAAGATTCAGAACCACAAGCCAATGTCCTGGGTTGATGCCTGGGATCAGGGACGAGGGATGGGTCAAGAGAGAAACTTTCTGCACGATCTTCCCTCCTCCCAGCAGGCAGCTGTCAGGATCCCAAATGGGGACCACAGGGAGCAGAAAGAAACAACAGACCTATGCATTTTAAAGTGAGATGGGCCTTAAATTGTGCAAAAAAAAAAATCACACACACACAACAAATGAGATCAAGACGCTTCTTCCTACTGAGAACACACGAAGGCCTCGCTAATGGTCTGATTGGGAAAACTTAGCAAGCTTCGTTACCAACATGATTTAGAGGAAGCATCACTACCCAGTGACTGCTTCTCTGCTGTCTGTCTGGCCACCTCCCACGCCTGACCCACCGGCTCTCCCAGCGGGGACAGGAGGAACAATTCCATCAAGAGCAGCAAATGGCCTGCTCTGGGCAAAGAACAAGGATCCCTTAAGAAAAAAAGCCCCTTGCTTTCTTGTTTCTTTCTTTTGCTTTTTTTACTGCTCTATTCTGCTTTTAATGTATCCAGCTATCAAATTAAGCTTTCATTTAAAAGTCATTATTATAATAATCCCAGTGGGTTGCTCCCACAGCCACAGTAGCTGATGGGAGAGGAAGCACGGCTGCAATCACTGATCGTGACCATGAGGGAAGTTAAGAATGATGGAGCACAGGGGCGGGAGGCAAGGCTGTCGCTCCAGGACCTACCACTAATTAGCTGTGTGACTTCGGACAAGTCACTTAACCTCCAGGGCCACCCACGGCTAAACAGCCACATCGAGAAGGCAAGGTAGTCTGTATGGTCTCTCAGCCTGAAAATTCTATCAAAGCACAAAAGCCATAATCAAAAAGGGCTGCAACAGCTTCATAAAGGCCTCATCAGCAAGAGAACCAACACATGCTGGGGCAGGAAAGTGGTTAAACTCCATCGTCTCGCTTTCTTGTTGGCCTAGAGATCCATACTCTGGAGCCATCCCAGAAGTAAGACCGCATTTATAGCAGGTAAACCCCACAGAGGGGCACCCACAAGAGGCCCTGAGCAAATGCTTCCTCGGGCTACAGGGCTCTCATTCTGGGGAGGAAGGAACTGGAAGCAGATATGGGTGGACTCAGAGAGCCCTCTCTTCGCCTCATCCAAGCCTCCAGCCACCTTTCCCAACTCAGGGGAAAACTGCTTCCCCTCCAGCATCCTTCAGAAGGACTCTGGGATTTTCAGTGGATCATGAGAAGGTAGAAGAGCCAGCGACAAGGGTGACACGGCAGGCTCTCCCACTGTGCAAAGGAGACACACCTCTCCGTTAAGATGCATGTCTCTGTAAGATGCACATGACAAGATGGCATGAGGCACAGGTTCTACCGGGCTAAAGGCCGACAGGGTCTCAGTGAAAACCCCCTCATGCCATCTCTCCCCCAAGGGTAAGACATGGTGCGCACAGCCTGTCAGTGATTACCTGGCCACAGAGAACTTGGGTGACTCAGTCAAGCTAGACTCTCTCACTACGGGATCCCCCATCCCCAACTTAGCACAAAGAAACTGCCAGAACAATGGTCAGCTGTATGGCTTCCCCATGAATCTATTGTGAGACGATTTTATAGGTTAAGACTCACTTTTTAAGTCTATCAATTATAACGCAAACACGACCAGTGTGAACTAGAAATTTCCCGGGTTTTCCAATGAACATGAGGACATCCTAAGGCCACCAAGATAATGCATGATGTCGATGACGTCATCCTAACCTATAAATTTGCATCTCAAATCTAAATGCAAACAATATGTCCAGTAAGAAGTCCACATTATCGTGCTGCATACCGACTTGACCCATACAAGCAGTAGATGTTCCACACTTTCATGAAGTCCTGAGTGTCACGTTCTTCCTGCACAGGTGAGCCACTATGATTCAGTCTAAGCAATTTGAGATGTCTTTCATATCGATTTACCAGACAGATTACACAATGATCCATAACAGCCTTGAAAGACAGAGGGAGTAGAAAGAACATGTCCCTAAATTGCCCTAAAATAAAAAAGCAATAACTGTGACAGCATGCGTACCGAGTGGACACCTCTCCCTGTGAATATACAGCAGAGCCCTAGAACAGGAGGCTGTGGGAATCGTCGAATATGGGGTGGTTTGGCCCCATTTCCACTGCTCATTAGCCATGTGACTGTAGGCTGTGGCTTAATCTTGATGGGAATTAGTTCAACACCAATTTGTAGGCTTCCAAGATCCTTATGTGGATCAAGCTAGATTATTAATGCAAGCATTATTTGCAAACCAAAAAGTATCCCACATATATAAAGGATAAATATTAACATGCTTCCCAAGATCTCATGAGGATCAAATCAGATGATTGAATGTTATTTGGAAACTGAAAAGCATTACATGAATATCAGAGATTAATCTTAACATGCAATCCCATTATCAGTTTAACAAGCTTAAAATCCATTATTGGGCCTGAGCAATACTAGTATGATAAATAATATGAACTGAGCAGGCCCCAGGCCTATCCAGATTTGAAGGGTGTCCATGTCTCCCTCATACAATCCTTGCAGTTGGGAGGATGTGACTCCACCCAGAGGTCCTGGGGGCCACTGTGTATATTCCACCACCCTGGCCTGCGGCTGTGCAGGGTCCACTGGGGACCTGAGCAGCCCAGTCAGTATGATGCTCAGGCTCCTTGTTTGGAAACACTAGGTCGAAAGCATGCCATCTTCTTCAGGATATTGAGTTTGGGAAGAAGAGGGTAGCCAGCAGGGCCTGCCCCCAGAGGATGAAGTCAATATGCAAACAAGACAGCTCAACAGAGGGAGCTTCGAGAACTGGAGCCAGTGGTCCAGACTGACTCGGAAGCTTGCTCTGTCTCTGTTCCTCAGTCACGTGAGCTGATAAATATCCTTGGGGTTCGGCCATTTGAGTTGGCCTTGTGCTTTCTGATACTAATATCCTAAAACAGCCTAACTCCAACCAGCCCTATAGGTAGGAATTATTATTATTCTCATTCTGCGGATGAGAAAAGCACAGCTAGGAGAGGTCAGGTAACTTGCACAAGGCCACAGAGCCAGGGAGGCACAGAGGTGAGACTCAAAGGCAGGCACCGGACTCGAGGTCCTGCATTCTCACTTGTGGGGCCAAAGGATGGGGTATGAGGCTGTGGATCACTGTGGTAAAGAGATATTTAACCCACAACCTAGCCACGGGGCCATTTTTCAAAGCCTGGAACCTAATCGGGGATGTTTACCTAAATTGTGCTCCCTTAATTTTGAACACGTTCTAAATGACTCAAATGCTGTTACAGGATCATAAGGCAGGCGCAGGGGCATCATCGTGAACCCATGTTATCATCATAAAGGAGTTGCCTTAGTCCTAGAGTGAACCAACCATCTTAATCAACCCATCCATTGGAGCCTGAAAGTGAATTCTGCTCAACTCGCAAAATGTTCCCTGCTGGACCCCCCTTTATTATATTAGTAAGAATCACCCAACCAAAGGCACTCCATCCACTCGGCCAGGGAACAGGGAATGTTAAACAACCACCGGGGCAGAAGACAAATCCCAAGGCATCCTGATTAAGGGCAACAACGGAGTATGGGACAGTCAAAGGTTTGCTCAGGGTCACGATGACGTTTACTCCAGCTGCAGATAGAACCCATCACAAGTCCTCAGGGCCCTGTTTCTGGCCGATGCTTGTCTCATCCTCTTGTTCCTATTACAGCATGGCCAGGAGTGGCTCCCCACCAGCCCTACCATATTACCATAACCAAGAGAAACCGCCTCTCCTCGGCCTGAACCCAGTGGTCAGCTCTCACTCTGGCCGCAGCCCCTGCCTGCAGGAACGATCCATAACCACGCTGGGATCTACACATCACCTACCACACACTCAACCCTCCACCTGCCAGAGCCCCTACAGGTCACTGTGCACACATCACTCTTGGTGACCAGCTACATAAACTCCCCAGACGCCAGCTCCATCCACTCGACGCTCAGAAGCACTGGAGAAACTAGTTCTTACCAGGCATGATTATCTCCGGAAATCCCGTTTTCCGAGCCACTGCTGTGGTCCTGTCCACCAAATGAGGAAACTCTTTTCTAATCTGATGGATATCTCCAGGAAGTAGTTTCAACGTTACCCACAAACCTAGAAAAACAATGGATGCATGAGTCACGTTTTATCTCGTACGTTTTTACAAGAAGATTTCACAAAACATATTTCAATGAATGAGCAACTTTTAATCCTCAGTTCACTGTCTTAGGATGAAATGTGAGTGTGTGAGAAAGAAAGAAAGAGAGGAACCAGGAAAAAAGTGCCTGGTACTGGGAATTACCTGTGTCAGATTAGCTGGGGCACAAATCCTGCGCTAGAGGAGCGTAAGGGACAGGCGGACGCACATGAACACAGCTGTGCACTACAGCTGCCCAGCACCAATGACTCTTTTGAGTTGATATACATTTAAGATAAATCAGAAGGTAGCACTTTTCTGGGAGTGGATTGAGAAGGCTATCATTTTCCATTCTCCCAAGAAGGATGACAGCAGAGGAGGATTCAGAAGGTAAATTCACAGCTTCACCAACCCACGAAAGTTTCAAATTGCTAAGCAGCATCCATGCTCTCCAGGTGAGCAGCAGAGCACCGGGCCAGGGCAGCCGGCCCCTCTGTTTCACAATGTCACAGCAAAGGAGGAATAAATTCTCTGTCCGTCACTCGGCTCTTTCCTTCAAGGGGAAAAATGAAGACCTTCAAATCCTCTAAGCAAGATGCAAAGGATGCCCTAGAGAGAGCACTGTGAACTTGATAACGCCTGCAAGCTGAGAGAGTATACTGTGCTCTCCCTCTGCAAAGCTGATGGAGAATCGCATTTTGTATAAAACACGCCTGAGCAGCAATCAAACGGGAGGTAACAATAAGAGGGAATAAAGCCGACACTTTTATCAAAATCAAAGGCAGGAGACAAAGCAATTGCTTGGCTCTCAGCCATTTTTAAGGATGGTGCCTTTCTCCCAGGTGGGAAGGGAGGTTGTCACTGTCAGCTGGCAGGTCACGGTCTCCATCCCTGAGACGTCAGGGGCCTGGCTCGCCTGCTCCCTGATCACTCAGCTCTGTGGGACTCCATGTGCTCATCAGAATAGAAAGGGACCTGTCCTCACTTACACTACTATCATGTGCGTGTGTGTCTGCCTGTCCAGCTATTCCTCCTCTAGATGCATGCTTTCAGGGAGCATGGACCAGCCCTTCATTACTGTTTAGCTCAGCACCCTGTGCTCAGTTGAAGACAAATGGGAAAACCACACACCAGACCTTGTCTACAAACAACTTGCATTCTAAGTGGAACTGGAAAGCATCCAATGGGTCCACACAAGGAACGCCATCGGAGGATGCTTCTGCATGATTAAACCCTACACGGCACACTGTGGTTAAACCCCACAGCTGCCTCATCTTCCAGCAACTGGCCTGGAGACATCTCTGTCCTCTGCAAAGATTTACAAGACTTATGGTTGAGAAAGGCCACAGTCACTGATGACACTTTACTCTTTGTCATCTGGTGAAACCCCCTTTCCTCATGCCATCTAGATAGTCCCTCTACTTTATTCAAAAGTATCTAATGGGCACCTACCGTGTGCCAGTCACGAGCTGGGCACTGCAGACACAGGGTGAACACTCATTATATCCCTGACAGGGACTTAACTTCCATTCCACGAGCCAAATGCTAACTGTGTCTCTTGGTGAAATATGCAAATACAAAGAGTTTTCTAAAGAAAAAGTCCAGCACATGTGGAGAGCATATCCCAAGACGGCAATTCCGGGCATCACAGAGGCTCCCCTGAGGAAGGGACATCACGCTGAGATCTGGAGGACAGGCTGACGCTAACTGAGGGGATTTCAGACTCGTGCCCAGCCCGGTGCTGGAGCCCCTAGATGCAGGGGGGAGAGGTGTGAGATGTGGCTGGAGAAGCTGGCAGGGCCCTGACCCTGCAGGACCCTGTTGGCCATGGCAGGAACTGTGGTCCATCTGAAGGGTAGTGGGGAGGCCCGGAGGAGGAGCGAGTACCAGAGTCTGAACTGACAGTACTCTGGTGGCTGCGTGGGACTGGGTAGGTGTGAGTTTAGAGCAAACTGACGATCCCAGCAGAGAGACCACCACAGGAGCCCAGGCGGACACTGGCGGGACTTCAGCTCCACTGGTGGTAGGGGTGGAGTACCCAGTGTGGAGGTCCAACCAGAACTTGAGGAAGGAGGGATGGCTCTCGGAGATGGTGACAGTTGTGGGCAATACCAATAGCAGGTGCCAGCTATACCATTCCCTGAGCCAGGAAACCCTGCATCCCAGGGAGACGTCCTAAGGGCAAGAGCACAGAGAGAGGAGAGAAAGAAGAGGGCCCACTGTGCACACGAGAATTTCCGACATTGAGAGTTCACCCAGGGAAAGGGAAGCCAGCAGGAGGACACAGGAAATCAGAGGCCAGAAGAAACAGGGAAAACCAGGAGGGCACAGGGTCAATGTGGCCGACAGCACAAGGCAACTGGCAAAGAAAGGCCAGTGGGAGCTAAATTCAGCCCACATTCTGCTCACCAAGGACAGGAGAGTGTCTGTGGCACTGGGCAACCAGGGTGTCACCGAGGACCTCAGCAAGAGCACTCCTGGTGCAAGAGGAGGGGCAAACGCTGGTGGGAGGAGGACAAAGAAGGACATAAGATGAAGATCAGAGAGATTCTCAGCAGGTGTAAGCTACTCTGCTAAGAAATCAGAAGTGGAGTAGAGAGAGAGACAGTATACAGATGCATTATTCAATTTAAGATTTTTTTTTTTTTGCCTTGGTTTCCTTTTCTTTTCTTTCCTTCTATATTTTTTCCTTTTTCTTTCTTCTTAAGATATAAAATTCCAGATCAGGATAGGGAGAGTTTCAAGAAGTAGGAGAGAAGCATAACCAATAAAAAGAGATCTCTAAAGAGATGTCAGAGGGTGGCATCCAGACGGGGCACTTGTGTCATTGCTCAGGATGTGCACTGCACAAGGCAACTGGCAAAGAAAGGCAAGTGGGAGCTAAATCCAGCCCACATTCTGCTCACCATGCTATATGCCCTGGCACTGACTCCATCTCCCCACTCACCCAGAGGACAGGCCCCCTTCTTCTAATTCACACAAAAGCACCACAGGCCACTCCAGACCTGCAGGACAGGTGAGCAGATGGACCTTTGAAGAGCCGGCACCTAACCCCTGGCTCTGTGCTCCAGTAGGGCGAACCTAGTGAAAGGGACACTCACAGGAGTGCAAGGGGAATTATCATTGCAGTTGACACGGACCTAGTCCCTACTGGGGACACCAGGACGCAGCTAAGAGTTTCTCAAATCTTAGGAATGTGAGTCCCAAAACCTCCCAAAGGAACACATGTCCCTGGGATAAATCTAACTCGAAGACACTTTTCAAAGACTTGCAGGATGTGGTGAGAAAATTACTTACAGAGGGCAAAGATAAACATTTAATAACATCATTCTAAAATCCTGTCTTTCAAACACCTTTTCTTTCTCAAAAACACCAGCCTGCTCAACTATCTTAGTTCATAAACTAGTAACTTAGTCACACAATTCAATGTGTTGTAACACAATTTAAACACAGAAAGTAAATTTTCCTGATTACATTGGGTTTAAAACACTTTCCTCACTGGAGAAAATGAGGTCAATTTTCAAAGAAAAAGTTCATTTTAGGTTGACTTCTGTTTAACCAGAGTAACTAAAAAATGAAAGGAATTAGCACCCATTATGTCTCAAACAATAGGAACAGATGTCTGGGGGTGTTTGAGGATTCACGTCCACATAAAACACCCAGCACCTCTGGGTTCAGGGTTCAGAATCATTTGGGCTAAATACAAAAGATGTTGTCAACCGTGACAAGCAAACAGTTGGATGTAAATGTAAAATGGGCCACAGCGCCGACACAAGCTCAGGAGGGACAGGCCGCGAGTGCGAATGGACGAGCGCGGGAATCGCACGGCTCTCAGTGAGGACGGATATTCCTCCACGGCCCTCCCACTGCCCTGCGCTCTTGACAGTGACTTGATGGAAAGCAAGCCTCAGGGCAAG